AAAATGGGTAAGGTTAAGGGAAAACCCAATCCCAAAACAAAGGGAAGGGAACATTTCCTCACATCAAGCACCACTGATGGATGCTAACAAGAACACATCAGTAAGTTAAACACAGACTCACTCGTAAGAGGATCCAAACAACACGACTAAGTCTCAAATCTCGACCAGTCAAATCAGGTTGGTGTAAAGTTAAATGAAAGTGAGGTGCAGGCACCATCCAGGAGGCAAACCTTAGATTTCCACCATCTAATTTTCTAGAGACCACACTGTAAAATTGCTTGAATCTGGAACTGAAATTGTAGAACTGAGCAGTAAAGGGTTAAAACTTGGGCAAACGAAACAAGTGCAGCTGCTAGTCCAGAGCACATTTTGAATCCAAATTTAGGACCAGAGAGTGAGCGCAGAAAATTTGTGTTATCATTCTAATCCTTGTACTGTGTCATGACGCGCTTGGGGAAGTGCACAGATGGTTAAGCTCCAACTACTCCCGGGATCATCACAAAACATAAAGGTTTAATCAAATTGCTTAAAGATTTCCAGTTTATCTGTCTGATGGACTCAGATCAACAGAAAACTGACTGATCAGGTTTCTACACTTGCACCAACCAGAATTACCATTCATTACAAAGAAATATGGCCTAACCACAGGAAAACAAAACATGATTTATCAATTCATAACTCTGATCATCTTAATCCCCAACATAAACTCCTACACACACACACATACAGACAAATACAGAAAAACACACAAACAATCATGTTATAGTGAAGGCAAAAATACTGTAGAAACACAGTTCAAAAGCATCAATCCATTGGATTCAATGAGGTGTTCCTTTTACTTCTTCCAAGTCCTTATGATCTCTGATTTTTGTATCCAGACTCTTTCTGCTCTTTGCTGAAAACACAGGGTAATCAATGCATTAATTGTTCAGGCTTTCAGTCATTGGTTTGAGACAACAGCTTATAATGAATGGTTGGAGAGATTAGCTATCTTTCAGTTCTTGGCAACTTCACTCCACAGAGAGAAAAAGAAAGATGCTGTGTCATGCAGTCTGAGACCTTCAGCTTCTGTAATGTTTATTTATAAGGTTTCCACCTGGCCAGGATCCAGTCAGAGTCTTGTTGACATGTTGATGACTCCTGGAATACACAACTGATCCAAACTGAAAATCAAATCCTTTCTTTATTTGCAATCCCAAAGGAAAAGAAAAAAGATATGGTCTTTACAGCTGTTATTTCTATTTTTAATGGTGGGGAAGTGTTGCATACATGATAAATATGAACCATATGGACCATCAAATTTATAGTTCCATCACCTGATTATAAAAAGAGATCTTTCTTAAAATGTTCTTTTAAAGAAGAAACTTAGACTCTAAGGTGGCTGCAGTAGTCATCTGATCTCAGACTGATAAACCCATCTACACGGAGATAACTATTTTATCTAAAGATGCCAAAACCAGGCGATCGATTTGGTGTCAAGAAATTCATATCTCTTTTTTTATTCATACTCGGATGGTAATTTCACATATCGGGAAATGAAAGACTCACCTGCCAGTTAGCCAGCTTAGAAAGACAAAGGAGGTGAACTTTAGAATATACACTGAGCTATGTTACATCAGATGCCTTTAAGCAGCAGAGCAGAGAGAATGAAAAGTAGATTTGTCAGCAAGAACTGGAAGATTCTGGGTACAATCTTCCCAGGCCCTGGGCAGTGGTAAGAAATGTGGGAAAATTGCACGAGAAGTCAAGTAAGGTCTTTCCTGACATCAGAAGGAACGAATTGCATTTTTCAACTAAGTTCCGGACATGGTGTGAGATTCTCAACAGTGAGTGATGAAAGATCTATTAACAGGGATTATTCTCCATTATCACCTTCATTATTATCTAATCTCAACTCATTAATGTGCAGGTTTCCAATCTATCACTCAAGATAGATTACACGAATTCCTGACATGAAACTCCGAGTGGACCTTGGTGATTCCAGCTCACTGCTTCCTTGCCTAGGTTTCCATCATCGAAACTCGGCAGCCACACACTCCTCAGTTCCACGGGAGCTGGCATCGAAGATGTGCCAACCTCTCTGCATCACTACTGCACATGTCCTACCAATTTCCAGTGTATTTCTGCACTTTAATGCTGTCCTTTGGAGCTCACTGGCACTTCTCGATGCGATGCTCCTGCAGGGACAGACACACAGCTCAGGGATTGGACCAGGTTGCATCTCAGGGCTACTCACCTGCTTTCTTAGCACTCCCTCACTTCGCGCTTATCTGGACACACACAGTGTCCCTACTTTGCCTTGCCTTGCCTCTTGGCACTTTGCCCCCTCAGCCACACTTAAAAGGCTCACAGTGCTTCTGTCTTGCCTTGCGGTTTAGCGGAGACACAAAGCCAGGCAGCCATCAGTTATATGGGACAGATATATTGCTTCTCGGCACTGCACTGTCAGATCAAAAGAAATAGGATTAAGCCATTCAGCCTTTCAACACAGCTCTCCTCATTCAATAGGATCACGGCTCATTTGACATTCCTCATGTCTACTTTCCTGCCCGTTCCCTGTAAGCCTTGATTCCCCGACTGATCAAGAATCTATCTATCTCAGGCTTAAATATGCACAAAGACTCTGCCCCCTCACCTCCACGTGGCAAGGATTTCCAGACACTCAGCAGAAAAGCTATGGAGGATGATCAGATCAGCCATGATCTAACTGAATGGGGAACAAACTTGATGTACTGAATGGCCTATTTCCACTCCTACATCTTATGGTCTTATGCCTTTCAAGGATGCTTACTGGGAGACAAAGGCTGCTCTTTGCAACCACAGCTGATGGCTCCATCATCGTATAATGGAGGCTAAGTGTAGATAAAATGTATAGCCCATTTTTTTTGACGAAAGCCAATGGGCCTCCTGAAGATATGGTTTCAATGTTGGACTGTTCAGATGGGCTCCTGCACTACATTCTGGACAGACTATGCTGCATAAACGCAGCTTGCTGCTTTCTGGACAGTGACACCAGGCAATGAATGGCTGTGATGAATGCAGAAGACCTGGAAGATTGGGAGCAGTCTTCTGAGGAGAAAGATGTTGAGCAGGATGAATATCACCTTCTTTACAATAGAGTTCAGTTGCATCAGGCACAATAAACCAGACAGGACTTTATTGACTCCCACTTCCAATAGATGAGAGCTGTGTGCAGTGATTAATCATTGACTGTAAAATTGTTAGAAGACAATGTGCAAGAATTTAAGTTCTGAGAGGAAAATGCAGCTCCTGTTTGTTTCGTATCTGTTCAATTTAAGTTGTTGTAAATAAAGGTTAATTCTTGCAATTTTTTGGAAGCTTTCCTGCATGTGACAGCCCCATATTCATCACAGAGAAGATACTGAGCTTTGGTGGGCATTCAGGAAAGCATAGCAGTGACTTCCAGAGGCTTGTAAAATGGGCTGCAGCCCAGGACCGGTGAGTAATGTGGACCAGCACGAATACAGCCATAGGTGTAGGAATGGGCAGTTGTATACACAAGGAATGGTCACCTATGTGCTGTGAGGTGTGTTGGTTTGTAGATTCTGTGGTAATACATTGATGGTGAAGGGCAACATCGAATAACCAGCACTTGACCATACACATGGCTGGGGCTCCAAGATGGCACCAGACCCAGGGATGGGGTAATGCTGGGATGTACCAGTAGTGGCAGGTATTTCTATGGTGAGTAGGAGAATTGGGCTAGGACTGGACAAATAGGGTGCAATAGGGGAGTAGCAGGGAGGTAATGAAGTGAGTTTAGGATGGTCATGCGAGAAAAACTTGCTAAGCATCATGGAGAAAAGCCATCCATGAAATGCATTGGAATTGGCACATTTCCAAAATATGGTAAGATTCAGATGCCTCTCTCTCTCTCTTTCTCTCTCTCTGCCTGTTACTTCCATCTTTTTGGAATAAAGCATCTGGTGAAAAGGTAAATTTTGATAACAACCATTCACTGAGAACACAAAATTATCAATAGATTCTGTTATTGCTGTGGGTGTGAGTCAACAACTAGTTAACAGTGGCCTCAAGTTTAAAATTCAACACCTAAAAGACGCTAAAGACTTTTAAACTGCATAGCCTTATTTTTCTCCTATTCACGCCACTGTCTCTTTTAAACTTATTACCTGTGTTTGTGCATGTGCATGCTTGATGTTATGTTTTATTGCTTTAACCTTGGGGGTTTATAGGTAAGAAATTCTTCTTTCCTTCGCTCAAGAAAACCTTGTATTTATTCAATCTACTTAGTTTAGATTAGCCCATTTATTTAGATCTAGTTAATTACATCTTTAATCAGCATGTGATTATAATTCCACGACGTTGTTGACTTGCTCGCCGAGGTGGCTTGTTCTTGTTCAGATGTTTCATCACCAAGCTAGGTAACATCATCAGTGAGACCTCCAATGAAGCAGTGTCATTCTACTCCACTTGGAATTTATACAGGTGGAGAACCGTAATGCAATCAACAAACACATTGAATTGGACTTCATATACAAACCTATACAGATCAACACTGAAAATGACACTGCTCACCATAACGGAACAAACAGTATAAATTTCAAGCAGAGCAGAATGACACCGCTTCATCGAAGGCTCCACTGATGGTGTCACCTAGCATGGTGACGAAACGTCTGAACAAGAACAAGCCAGCTCGGCGAGCAAGTCAATAACCTCAACCTGAGCTACAGATCTTTGTCAAAACTTTCATTATAATTCCATGTTAAAAAGACAGAAACTAATTCCTAATCACCAAAACCAAATTGGAAACCTCAATATGAAACTAAGAAGGGAAAAACGTCTATTCATATAACATCAAACACGTGATTTACACTCCATGAACAACATTGCATTGGAGCTACTGTTAAATTTGCACATATTATTTCATTTCCTTTCATATACACCTCTTACTTAATCATAGGAACATCACTTCCCTTTTTGGCACTAGTTATGTACTTCATGCTTCAATCAAAGCATCTCCACAATGTATAAATTGAATATATTTTAGTTTTACACATTAAAGGTAAGTGTCGCAAAAGATGTGCTATGTCTGAGATGTGACTAAATTAAATGCTTTGTCTTTTTAGAAAGATACAAAAGCAAGTTGAATCTTTATAGGAATTATATCCAGGTAAATATTTTAACAATAATTTAAGCAACACAGACTTGGCAAATCATAATATCAAAAGCTCGTATTTGTTGTATTCTAGTATTGTATCCATCACAGTTTGGAAGCATAGTTATTGTATTAGCGTGTTGTATTAAAGTTTTAAATAATATTAGCCCTCATATATTGGCTATTCTGCTGGACCTACTGAAATAATAAATATTTTATTGATTAGGTCCTGAGAGTTAAGCATTTTATGATTTGTGTGTTGACATTTAAAGCATCAAACAGTAAGAAAGGCAATAATACAGAACGTAAATATGATGAAACAGTAAAAGCTCAATCATTAGCAGACTAGAATGCAAGGATGCTGAGTACATACCAGAAAAATATCTTGAGGTGTCCTTTAAGGGACAGAGTCGATACAGCTGCTGTATTCAAAGTGCAACGCAGCTTGTGATTTATCTCCAAAGACATTAATCTTTGTGTCCCACTGCAGTCCTGCTAGATTGTTAAGAACAGAGCTGGGAAAAACCCAGTTACACCCTAGCTTTTTCTCAGTTCTGCCTGGTTTATTCGCATGAAATGACCACAGAACCTTTCTAAGTGTCATTATTCAAGAGGAGGTCAGTGAAAATGTTCAGAGGGGCTTCTGCCTGGCAGGCTGTTTACTTTTTTTTCTAAAGAAGGCAGTAGTTTCTTCGCTGTAGTACTGGTATGAGGAACAATTCAAGTCAGTGTAGTACCAATTAATTGTTTTCTTTTGTGCTTGCATGCACAGTTGAATGAATATTCGGTAACTGCACTTCCTGAGTTCGTTATTATAGCCTTGCTGATCTATTATTATAAAAGGTCTCTGTAAAAATAACTGTGCTGCAAGAACTCTTTCATTTCAGTTGTGCTGCAGGGCCACTGCTGTTTTAAATTCTAAGTTATAACTTCATCGCGGTAAAGGTAATGATCCTGTACCATTGCAGTCAGCAACTTGGAAGTAAAAATTTTCTGGGGCAAGTACCAATGTTTGTCCATAAAGATCTGTGTAGTGTTCTATTTTTAGCCATTCCTATCCTTTATAACTTAGTCAACTTCCAGTATCCACAATAATGCTGTAACATTATTAATAAGAATAATATAAAGAAATCAGGGGAGGTTTCCCCAGTTGTGTTAAATAATTATGATATCATACATCTTAAAGAGTGTTTGTGATTTCTATAAAATACATCAATTTGTTGTTTTAGAGGACTCACAGCTTTTATTAAAAATAATAAATGGAGAAAATCATTCCCAGATCATTACAATATCACAAACATATCGAAATCTTGCTCCAGTTTATACACTTTGTTTTAGCAATAGTTTGATGGCACTAATTCATTGTATCTCAATGGTCTGCAAACTGCTTGATATCTTCATAATCTACCACATTCTCCTGTGATCATACTGTGCCCCACTTTTAATTCTGAGTCAATAAATAGGTTTGACTGTTGTCAAATCTGATCCTTTACTTTCAAAATTCAAATGTAGTAACTTGGAGCTAATTTGAAGAATGTTATCTGGGTTATTTGTCAGCCTTGCACCTTTTGGCTGCACAAAAGAAAGGCTTGTTTTATAAAAGATGTTACCTTGAAAGACATTATTTTGCTTTTGCTCTGCTTCTGAATGGCCTTCACCTGATGGCCAAACTACAGTGATGTCCCTGCTCAGACCGGAGTTAAAATCACAGGCTGTGGGACAAGTATGGGAATAAGACCTCCTCTGCATATTTGAAGACGGGTCCTGTTGATAGTTCAGTTGCTTGTGCAGAAGTACCAGTAAACATGTTTCTGCTGGCTGTGTTAAATTAATACCTTTTCAATGGTGTCAACACCCAGTGGAGACTCTCTCTGAAGATAACCTCAAAACTGCTTCCTGAAAATGTTCATGGACAAACATCATAGGAAATATGAATGTAATAGAACACTTGGGAGGTCTCACTTGTACAGATCTTAAATTCCATTTAAACCATAAAATAGAACCAAATTTGATGGAGAAGGTAGTAGAGGTGAACTTCAGCACACACTTTGAGAAGATGTTTTTATTTTTATTTTTGGACCCACTCTTTAGGCTGACTATAACCAAGTCAAAGCTTCATCCCTTGTGCTAATTCAATACCTCCCACATACCACATTTTTATATGCAAGACTAGCAGACAATACCATAGTTCACATTTGCATTTGGTTACAGATCGTAAATGACTGCTCAGCCACTATCCAAGACTCAAGCCTAGAAAGGTATTTCGATGCTGCAATGTTTGCTTTAAAAACAATTAACCCACTGTTACCTGGGGACAATTTGTATTAGATACAGTGTAGGTGTTGAATGTAGATATTGAATATCAAGGTGAACACAAAATAGATTAAATGTTATGTGTAAAGCAGTTTATCATTCTACCGGTAATGTTCTGTCTGGCATGAATGAGTTGTAAAGTGAAATTAGAATGCTTACATTTCTAAAGGGATTAATTATAGTTTTGACAAGAGCAATGCAATTGAGTCCTTCTAACATGAATTTAGTAAATTGGAACAAAATACAATTATAGCATAAAGTTATATTGAGATGTGCATTTAATGCTTATGTGCGTGTCTGTAAATATTGGCAATACAAGGTTTGTGGGTGTCACCAATTTGTTTTCAGATTCAGTATTCTCCTTTCTCCCTTTCAAATGGCAGTTTGTGTAGAGTTTGTTTTAAATGTGATAATGAAATATAACGACCTGTACAAGAACTTTTACACTGACATTACTGGCAAGGGCAATTCATCATGTCTCATGGGAATGGCAGAGATGATTGTTTTAAAAAGCTTCCTTGTGCTACATGTGAAATGATGAAACAAACAAAAACAGAAATATTTCTGAAGAAACTCAACAGGTCTGGCAGCATCTGTGGAGAGATAAAAGAGTTAACATTTTGAGTCCAGTGTGTCACCAGACTAGAAACGTTAACTCTGTCTCAAAGGTCTCAAAGTGTCTACAGCTTACAAAGAAGAACTTTTGAAGACAAGTCATTGTTGTAATATTGGAAATGCGGCAGTCAGTTTGCATTCAGCAAACACGCACAAACAGCAATGACTTGATGACCTGTTTCTGTGATGCTTATTGAGAGATAAATATTGACCAGGACACTGGGGATTGCTAACCTGTTCTTCTTTGAGATAGCACCGTGGGGTCTTTTACACCCACCTGAGCAGGAGAATAGGGCCTCAGTTGAACATCTCATCTGTAAGATGGCTCTTCTGACAGCAATACTGCACTTGAGTATCAGCCTGGATATTTTAATTCAAACCCTTCAAGGGACTTGAACCCATTACTTCGTGACTCAGAGGAGAGAGTAATAGTTAAAAAATTGTTAGAGATTTAGGAAAGAGAAGAGGCAAAACTGTATTTCTTTATATACAGGATTGTAAGACGGCACTAATTGTTGATGCAGAGCCCATAATGTCAACCTTTAGAGTTAGACTAGATATTTGGTTCAGGAAAAGTGCCTTAAGGATGGTGTGGGAATCTGGGGTAAAGACTACTGTCAATGCAGAGGTTTATCACCAACATGATGAGTTAAGCTGAATGGCTCAAACTGTTTTTCAATTTGAATGTACTTGGATGAGAAGTATACTATTATCAATGGTTAAAAAAAGAGGAAATGAATAGAAACAGAATGTGACTCTTAACTGGTGAAACCGTCACACTAGATTGCAGCCTAAGGGTAATGAAAATCTCAGTTTATATATTATCAATTCTTTAAGGTACAGACATTAAACACCCTGTCTGAAACACTTTAACATTACTTACAGAATCCCCACAATGTGGAAACAGGCCATTCGGCCCAACAAGTCCACACTGACCCTCTGAAGGCATCACACACACACCCATCCCCCATCCATTATTTCCCATCGCTAATGCATGTAACCTACACATCCTTGGCCACCATGGGGCAATTTAGCATGGCCAATCCACCTCACTTGCCTATCTTCGGACTGTGGAAAGAAACCAGAGTGCTGGAGGAAATGCACGCAGACACAGGGAGAATGTAAAAAATTCCACACAGACAGTCGCTCGAGGGTGGAATCAAACCCAGGCCCCTGACACTGTGAGGCAGCAGCACTAACACTGAGCCACCGTGCTGCTAACTAAGAAAATAACACATAGCCAATTATCTTCTTTCATGATTAGTTTGTATGTGACTTATTCTTGCAAAACTGGTTATGTAAAAGCAAGTATAGCATTTCATTTTTGAGGTGAATGTCATTTCAAAACCGTGAAGTCCTTCATGAATGTTGTTCTCCTTTGTTGACTTTTCAAATGAAACTACCAGAACTGAATGAATTCCAAATTGGGGGAATTGTTGTAGAATTTTTTCACTACAATAACTTTAAAATTGTTCACTTGTTCATTTAGTTGGGGTGTCCTTCTGCCGATGAAGTGATTTCTGTTTCTCAAATTGGCTGTTGATCTGTAAAATTCACTGAATATTGGGTATTCCTTTGCTAAATAATGTGCACATACCTCTAAAATGTCAGAACAGTTCAGCTTTTCACACTGTTGGTTATAGTTTAGTGTCCCTTAGTAAGTAAACCAGTTCATTATCAATCAAGCAAGGGAAATATTTTTGTAGTGCAATGATATAGAAGTCAAAATGAATATAGTAAGTCAATATGTAACCATAAAAATTGCCATTTCGTACTCATCCAGACAGAGAATTCAATGCTGCATCATGTATCTCTGCTGAATTAGCTGATCTGAGTGACCCGCCATTTTGTTTCAGAAACAGGTTGACGAAATAAGCTAGGCATGATCTCTCTGCTGTTTATTTTCCATTGATCTCTTCTGTACAGTGCTCATGATGGGGAACAAGGAGCAGATAGAAATCAGCCCTGATCGCCACGATAGATGACTGCTGGCATCTATGGAACTTTGCCACAGGCAAGGAAAGAAAGAAAAGAAGATTGTAAATGGTCAGGACAAGCCAGAGAGCTTTCATTTTAGAATAGTATAAAGGTCTTTTGATTTGCAGATAAAATTCAGGGAAGATAAAAACAGATGAGGGATTGCACTACTCCACTAACCCACTAAGTTAATTACAACGTAGGCAGCATGTTAAACTGGTGCTGCTTGCTGTTATAAATGACTGCATGCATGCTGTTGGCTGACTGAACATCAGCAAGGACACAATATTGAGAGTGGGCAACACTGCTTAAAGGCGGTCTGCACCTTTTAAGGAGGAGATACTTTATGGACGCAAGAAATGGATGGAGCATTTTTTAGAAAAATGAATCTGGCCACTGATGCTTAAAGGAAGGGCTGCACATGCAAAATAATGAGCACTAAGGTTTCTAGCTATATGTTATGGGTCTTTATGCAAAGCATAAGGAAGCAGGGGAGGGCTGAAGATACCCCAGACATTGTCTCAAATGACTATGGGAATAAGTAGCCATGCAGTTAGCCGATCTTAACCAGTCCAGTGTTGAGTGACTGTTAAACCCCGAGGTGTTAGAAGGGCAATTAGTCAGGATTCCTTCTTTTGATTGTTATCCAGTAGTTTCTTCTGGAAATCTGGATAGAGCTTGACTGGCTGAGATTGTTCCCTCCCATGGCCAATTATATCATGGACAGTCGGTAATAAGCTCATGTATGATGTCGAATCACTTTAATGAAGAATATGGGAGTAGGAGCAATAGACACAGAACTATAAAATTGACGGTCACTTACAGAAATGAGAAAGTAGGGAAGTGTGGCTTGAATTAAGCTCTATTAAAGCTTGTGTGCTGTAGTAACAAATTATAATTATATTACGTTATTATGCTATTATACTATTGTATAACAATTATTGAACCTTCATGTAATCTATTTTAATGAGTTCAAAAATTCTGTTTTTTCTATCTTCATGGACCAAAACAGCAAAAATGATTGGTTTAGAGGTCAGTCGTATTTAGAAATTATGGATAATTTTCTCATCAGTTGACTAGAAATACAAGACCACTCTAGGCATATCATGACAGCAGCCTTTCACCAGTTCAGATGGATGTACATTGGCTGGAACTTTGCATTTCTGATTTCCCTATCCTGTGATGTTTTCTGGTCAGACAGAGGAGCACAAAATGGAAAATTGCAGCCAAAGATGAAGTGAAGATGACGTGTAGAATAAAGCATCTCAAACTGTTCCCTCCCGTGTAGCATTGAGCATTAGTAAAGGAACAGAGTATACTTTATGTTGCTCTTAGGTACCATCAGTAAAGTAGTCTTGGATGGTGTTGTTGAGTCCAAAACCATTCCAAGATTGTAAATATAAGAATGATTTTAACGTTGATTAAAAAGAAAGTCAGAAAGGTTTGCAAAGTGCAAAGAAAAAAGACCATTACTGGTAGTGCAGACTACTGCAAGTTAAATGGTTTCTATTGTCATCAGGATCCTGTGAAAGTATAGATCAAGCAGTGCCTAGATGACGAGAGAACTAAGAATTTTGAGAATCATTAGCATCAAAGCACAATAGCCAGACTCTTCCCTTCATCCTCAATCCATTAAGAGACAAGTGTCTAAGAAAGTGCACAACACAATATTCCACTCTTCCATGAAGTTGTTTAATCTTTCAGAGCCTGTATGGCCCCTGCATTAGTTTCTTTATTAATGAAAAGTGGCTACTTGAGGACCAGAGAGTTGCTGGTGTCCTTGCAAATAGGAGAAAAAGCATATCAAAAAGTAAGTCAACTAAAACCAGTTGTATCCAAATTGATACTGAACCATTAAGGAATTTTGCAGACCAAAGATATTGTGGTGGTGAACTTTGTATCAGGTTCTGTATTCTTTGGTTAGCGCAGTTGGCTGGACAGCTGGTTTGTGATGTAGCGTGATGCCTACCATGTGGGTTCAATTCACACACTGGCTGAGGTTACCAAGAGATCCCACCTTCTTAATCTCACCCCTTGCCTGACTGTGGTGATCTTCAGGTTAAACCACCCACCAGTCTTCTCTTTAATGAGAGAGCAGACTAGGAATATGGTGATTATACCTTCACATTAGCTCTGGTGAAATGGAATTTGTATGGGGCGAGCTTTTGAGGAGGAATTCCTCAAATATGCACAAGATTTTTCTTTACTGTATCAACTAGAAGTATCAACTAGAATCAAGCCAGTGTAGACTGAGTGTTGTGTAATGAAAAAGGAATAATTAGCGATCTAGTTGTGCAAGGCTTCTTGGGGATGCATGGCCATTGTATGATAAATTTATTTATTTAGATGGAAAGTGTCACATTTGATTCTGAGACTAGGGTCCTAAATCTAACTGTGATGGTATGAGGCACAAACTAGCAATGATAAATTGGGCGACATTAATTAAAGGAGTGATGGAGTCAATGGTAAACATTATAACGTCCAATAACGTCTAAAACTGTTGAAGAACACAGGATCTAGCAAAAGGGGGGAACTGAAGGAAATCAGTATCAGTAGGGAAATGGTGTTGACAAAATTGGTGAGATTAAATCCCCAGGAGCTGATCATCTGCATCTACAAAGAAATCACCCTAAAAATAATGGATGCATTGCTGGTTATCTTTCAAGGTTCTGTAGACTCTGGAACAGTTCCTATGGATTACAGGGTAGCTAATGTAAGCCCATTTTTTAAAAAAGGATGTCGAGAGAAAACAGGGATTTATAGACTGGTTAACCCAACACCAGTCATTGGGAAAATGCTAAAGTCCATAATAAAAGATTTAATAGCAGAGTGCTTGGAAAACAGTAAGAAGATTGGACAAAGTCAACATGGATTTACGAAAGGGAAATTATGCTTCATAATCTGTTGGGATTTTTTGAGGATATAACTAGTAGAGTTGATAAGGTGGAGTCACTGAATGCGGTTTACTCGGACATTCAGAAGATTTTTGATCAGGCCCTGAATAAAAGATTAGTATGTAAAATTAAAGCATTTGGGATGGGGAGTAATGTACTGACATGCATGGAAAACTGGCCGGCTGATAGGAAACAAAGATTAGGGATAAACAGGTCTTTTTCTAAATGGCAGACTCTGACGAGTGGGATACTGCAGGCATCAGTGCTTAGGCCCCAGCTATTCACAATATATAGTAGCTGTGGATATGAGGGAATTAAATGCAATTTCCTCCAAGTTTGGAGTCGACTGGGTGGGAAAGTGAGCTGTAAAAAGGATGCAGTGATGCTTCAGAGTGATTTCGTTAAGTTGAGTGAGTGGGCTGATGCATGACAAATGAAATATAATGTGAAGGAATGTGAAGTTATTCACTTTAGTAACAAAATAGAAAGGCAGGTTATTATCTGAATGGTGAAAGGGTGAGGTGTAACATCAGCTGCTGGAAGTAACCAACGCAGGTGCAGCAGGCGGTGAACGAAGCAGATGGCATGTTGGCCTTCATAGCGAGAGGTTTCGGGTACAGGAGCAGGGATGTCTTGCTGCAATTATACAGGGCCTTGGTGAGATCACACCTGGAGTATCGTGTGCAGTTTTGGCCTCCTTATCTGTGGAAGGATGTTTTGGCTATGATGGGAGTGAAATGAAGGTTTATCAGATTGGTTTTGGGATGGCAGGATTGTGTATGAAGAGAAACTGGATGAGTTAGGACTATACTCACTGGAGTTTTGAAGAACAAGGGGAGAATCTCACAGGAAACTGTAAAAGTGTAACAGGACTAGACAGGATTGTCACAGGAATGATATTCCCAATGACCAGCAGGAGCGGAACCGAGAACCAAGGGTCACAATCTAAGGATACAGTTTAAGGACTAAGATGAGGAGAAATTTCTTCAACCAGCCTGTGGAATTCTATGCCACGGAAAGCAGTTGATGCCAAAATGCTGCATAATTTTCAAAAGCAGTTAGATATAGTTTCTAAGGCTAAAGCTATCAAAGGGGAGGGGAGAGAAAGCAGGAACAGTCAGATAATCAGCCATCGAAAGACCAAATGCCTACTCCTGCTCCTAATTTTGATGTTCTACTTCTATAATCTGTCGCCTACTACTCAACTTCACTTCACAAAGAGTTACAGAGAATAACAAGCATTATTTATAAGTTCATCAGTATTTCTCTGAAAATCACAGGAACCAAGTTACTGCTGCACCAGGTTGCTGATAAATAGAATTAAGTCAATGACACCACATGATTACTTCTTGTGGATCTTGCTGTGGCATTTTTCCTGATGGTCACTGTAGCTACTTTGTAGTTTCTGCCACCTCTCCAATATGCGTCACTAGGCAAAGATTGTTTAAGTTAGTCACTGCCACTAATTCTCCTTCTATTTTTGCTTTGTCTTGAGTTTATCTTGTGATTAATCATAAAGAATACATCATTCTAGGGTACCTACAGAACAGAGACTGTTTTTAAATCACAAGGTTTATTGCATATTAGCAACAATTACAACGACATTAGCTCAAGCATAATTCCTAGAACCTTAGGCAACTGTACAGATACATCTGCTCCCTCCAAAAGCAACAGAAGCCTCCATTCACAGACGGTGTGTGACATCAGTCACACTGGGAAGAGCCAATGTAAAATGAACTTTAACCCATTCAGAACCATTACCTTATAAACACATGTACTGAATTACACAGTTTAACTGTTTTATTATACTTATTTGCTTTATATATTTATAACCACCTTTAATAACATGCCCCTTTCGGCCACTCAACAACACACATTGCAGTATTGTTTCTTTTCAGTTCTCTATAACTACCACTATGCTCCCCCATGGACTGGAAACTTGCATGCAATTTTATTGCATTTACCACTGAGATAGATCTCGACTTTAAGCAATGATATGGGTCTGCAGATATTTTAAATCTTTTTTGTCTTTTACCTATGCTGAATGTTCAATTTATTGGAAACAAAAAATAGAAGCTCAGCAGGTCTGGCAGCATCTGTGGCCAGAAGTCAGAATTATGTGTGAATAGCACCATTGAACTGAGATCATCCTATGATTGACAGAAAGCTCCAAATCATAAATGGGCCAATGGCCAACATAAAAAAAAGCAAAGCCGCTAAAGCTTCCACTCGGAAGTCTCACATTACGTCAAGTATGAATAACATTTAGGTGTGAAATCCAAAGCAGAATTCTACATCAGGTTATCTTCTAGCTGAATGGGAATCTTTGATTTGGGATGTGACACTGCTGTAGTTCTGAGGAAGGGTCACTCGACCCAAAATGTTAACTCTGATTTCTATCCATAGATGCTGCCATATCTGCTGAGCATTTCCAGTAATTTCTGTTTTTGTTTCTGATTTACAACATTCTTTAGGTTTTTATTTGGTACAATTTATTGGCATTGTTAAATTTGTATATTTGGTACCGCAATACAGAACGATGCAACAAGACACTGAAAAGGAACCTTATTGTTTGTGCCTGATCAATGAGCCCATGCAGGTCAATGATCCATTTAACAAACAGTTTATGCACTGCCATTTTCCCACATTGACAGTATATGTTTACACAGTGGCAATTATACATGGAATTGCCTCAGAAATTAGTTGTTTGATATCTCAAGGCAAAATGTCAGTGATTGGTATTAGTTTTTTAAGTTGAAAGTTAACCAATGCACTGATCAAAATTAAAAGCCTAATCTCCTGTTCTCTGACTCCAATTGTTCCAGGTTTATACAAAATTAAACAAACATGGTTGGTGAAAATAACCAATCAATATTTCGGTCAGAAGCAATGTATAATATAATCAGAAGCAAATATTGTTGAGCCACTGTTTGATCCCCCTCTGTGCTCTCAGGTGAATAAGAACAATTGAGTTCCACTATTTCAAAGAAGGTTCGCTCCTAGAGACTTGGCTAAAATTTATCCCTCAACCTGCATCACAAAAGCAGAATGTCTGTGAACAAATTGGCTGCTGTGTTTCCTAAATTTTAAAAATCTCTATATTTCTAATTCCAAAGGAATGAAAAGCATTCTATAAAAGCAGGTCATTTTTCCTCTAAAGAAGAGGTTTGCTTTCAGGAGGTCTCAAATGCCTGAAGTAGAAATAACACATCACGGAATGGGTTCACTGAGATTCACATTTCTACACAGACACAGTTAAAATTGACATGACCTGTCTTAAAATCAGTTAACCATTGCGTTAAGAATACAATTCAGTTCTGATTCCCAATCGAAGATTCCCATTCAGCTGGAAAATAATCTGATAGTATGATTTTTGTTTGGATCTCATACCTGAGAGTTATTCAAACTTGGCATAATGTAAGACTCGCAAGTGGTCTATGTTTCGCTTTAGCAACTTTCCATTTTTTATGTTGGCCATTGGCCCATTTGTGATTTGGGAACTTGTGCCAACTATGGGATGGTCTCAGTTCAATGGTGCTACTCACACAGAATTTTGGAATGATTTGTTTCAGTTAAGAAAACCCAAAGCATTTTCCCAATATGTAAGAAGTTGCCCCTGTGCTCTTCCAATAATGCTAATTTTATATTCAATGTGCATTATTAATCACAAATTTATTACCGCTAAATTATTATTTAATTATGCATATTTGCTTATTTCCCTAGGTAAATCAACAGAGGAATCTGGTTAATCTGCCAGTTCTACTACCTTTGAAGCAATGACCTACAATACTTCAATCAGTAACACTACATGTAGACCTCAGAAGCTGGTTATTTTCATCCCTATTTTTCTAAGTGTGATTTTTCTAATTGGTTGTGTCCTGAGTGCCTTGAGTCTTTATACCTTTTGGTTTCGCTTCAAGAAGTGGAAAACTGGAATGATCATCCAGTTTCATTTGGCTTTATCAGATATGACAATCGTGCCAGTAGCACCATTTATGATCAGCTGTTTCTCCATGGCAAATCATTGGCCATTTGGACAGTTCCTGTGTCAGTTAAAAGTGTTCTTATTATTTATACATATGTATGGCAGTATCTACTTTCTGACTTTGGTGAGCATGCATAGGTATATCACAGTGGTACGTTTGACTAAACATAACATTTTTAAGGACCAAAGATTTGTGAAGTCAATTTGTGTAGGCATATGGATTTTCCTCTTTATAAATGCATTGCCATTCTTTTTTGTCCTCAAAACATCAGAAGGGTACAATATTACCCAATGTTTACGTGTGCACCAAACTGAAATGTCAACTGTCTATTTCACATGGAGTATGGTAATTTTATTTCCTGGGTTCATCATCCCATTTGGAGTTTCTGTCACTTGCTATATCCTGCTTGGATCTTATATCGTTAAAATGGATACCACCCTTGCAAGGGGAAAAGCAATGAAAGTGAAATCGATAGGGATGATTGCTGTGTCTCTGGTTACATTTCTCGTTTGCTGTTTGCCGGTACAGGTGTCGCGTTTAGTTGCTGTTACAGTGAAACAGTTCCACCCTGAGAGTTGCGAGTTGCTGTACAAGATCGAAGATATTTATTATATATCTATTGTGTTTGCCAATGTGAACTGTTGCTTGGATCCTCTACTCTATTGGTTTACCAGCAGGAAATTTCAAGAAGCTTTCAAAAGTACTCTAAGTGCATTGAGATGCCATTGCAAAGAGCAGAATCAACAGAACTTCAACACAGATAACTCAACTACTGCAGCAAGACCCGTTGATTAGACAATGAAATGCTTTGCCACAAGTTTATTACAAATGACCCCTCATTGTGCTTATAATTATCTTAAACACAATTGTGTATCTTTTAGTGAATCAATTATAACCACTGAACAGTAATATATCTGAGATAACAAGGTGTAGAGCTGGATGAACACAGCAGGCCAGGCAGCATCAGAGGAGCAGGAAAGCTGACGTTTCGGGCCTAGACCCTTCTTCAGAAATGGCACTTCAGCATTTCTGAAGAAGGGTCCAGACCCAAAACGTCAGCTTTCTTGCTCCTCTGATGCTGCCTCGCCTTCTGTTTTCCTCCAGCTCTACACCTTGTTATCTCAGATTCTCCAGCATTGGCAGTTCCTGCTATCTCACGGTAATATATCTCACATTTTCATTATTATCTACAATAATACAGATGTATCAGAAGTACATCGTTGGCTGTGACTGCAGTAAAATGTCTTAATGGGTGAACAATGCTATATAAATGCCAAGTTATGTCTTTATTTTAGATTAAAAGTAAATTGTCAAATCAAATGCCAACAATCAGCAAACGTTTCCTCACTCCACTTTGTGCTGAAAAAGTTCTAAATGCAACATAATATATTTTCAGTGATACTACTCCTATTACAGAGAGGAAAAAACACTTTTGCCAAGTGTTAGTAATAATAGGTGCAGTGAAGTAACAGGAAACTTTATATTCAGGTGTTTGATTCAGAAACTGTTTCAATGGGCTGTGCATAAAAGGATTGTATGTTTCACTGAGTTCCAAGTCAGAATTACTTGAGCTCAAATGTCAATTTCAGGAGGTCTCAAATACTGGAGAGCAGAAACAATGCTCTGTGTACATGGTTCTTTGAGATTCATATCTCTATGCAGACACATTTAAAGTTGAAATGACCTAGTGGTTTTGTTGCCACACAGGAAACTCAAAAAAAGGCTCATCACAAATACAATTCCCCAAACAGAAAACCACCATTCAAATGGAAGATAATCTGGGAACAGATATTTACCGAACCAAGGTTACAAAACAGGGCAGGAACCATAATTGACAAATCCAAAATTGTGGGTTTACCCAAACACCATTGACTTATAATTCTGCAGTGTGTTTCATATATTCGCATTGAGATTGTGTCCTGAAAGGTAGCCTGATTGGCTACTTGTGAGGCAAGGAAACTACATCGAAGAGTTTGTATTTTATTGGTGATGAGACTAGAAATTGGATGGGTAGAACTGGGCGGGATCAAGGATCATCAGTGAGTTCCAGAATGAACGTAGGGGCCTCAGTTAAGGTGTCAAATTGCAGAAGATTGTTGGGGAAGGGCAGAAAAGAAGAGGGTGTTGGGGCGATCGGGACTTGGGTAATAAACCTAAAGATTATGAGGAGATTGCGTGGGTGATGGTTGGTGAATGAATGGAGTATCAGTGGACATCACTGAAGTGAAGGAAAGACCTAATAGGGTTAAGCTGTTGTCCTGGAAGGAATAACGCTGCTTCTGCTGGCTTAATGGTAGTGAAAGGCTCTGCACTCTGACGAAGGCAGCCCTGTTGACTCTTTTCAGCTATCAAGTCTCCCATGACACAGGAAATCTGATGAGTTATCATCATAGAATTCCTACAGTGTGGATGGAGGCCATTCGGCCCATCCAGTAAACACCAACCCTCCGAAGAGCATCCCACCCAGTTCCACCCCCTACCCTATAACCCTGCATTTCCCATGGCTAATCTACCTCGTTTGCAAATCCCTGAACACTATGGGAAATTTAGCATGGCCAATCCACCCTAATCTGCACATCTGTGAAGGAAACCATAGCACCGGGAAAAACCCATGCAAACACGGAGAATGCGCAAACGCCACACAGACACCCACCTGAGGGTGGAATCGAACCTAGGTCCCTGGTGATGTGAGGCAGCAGCACTAACCACTGAGCCACCATTATAAATAGAAACACTGTTCAAATGGAGGAACGTAATCAACCTAAATGTTTTCAATGATCTCCCCAGCCCCTCCTGAGTACAATTACCACCATTCAGCCTTCATCAAAACTGAGTAGGTGGGTTCAAAACACATTGGGTTCTCGTTTAGAACTTTTTAACATGTGTACTTCTCACCTAGTTTTGATACATCCAGCCTGGGGGATTTAAATTACTCCCTCTTGTGTCACCTTCGTTTAATTTTATAAAGTTTTTACACATATAGCTCTCATTCAAAAGTTATCGCCAAAACTAGTTTCTGATAAAAAAAAATCAGCTTTTGCAGTATTTTACATAATTAAATATGACTAAGGATGGAAATGTTCATGTTTATATCATGTATTTGGTGTCAAGTGATGTCTCCCAGCTACGATTAGATCCATCTCTCTTAATTTTAATTTCCATTTACTTCACTTTATAGCAGACAACTGATCTGATGTTGTCCCACTTATATTATTACCCAAAGTCAAAATTAATTCATGAGCGTGTGGTTTTTGAAAGATTACTGGAGAAGTAATACAGGAAATTGAAGTTTGGATTTTCCACTTCATACTCTCTGCAGTTACTTCACAGCTATTTGTTCTTGTTCTTTCTGGTAGTATATATAAGAAGTCTAACAAGCAGGAAATAACAATATGTGATAACTATTTTTAACGTGATATTACTCACATGCTGGGCATTGCTGTGTACAAATGTATTCTGTTCCCTAGCTTCAGGAATAACATATGCTATGATTTTCTATGGAGTGACAAGTCTAAATTGAAAACTCAGAGATAATGTTTTTTGTGATATCAATACACAATAGTATATTTACAAATAATATTCAATCACATTTTAAATATCTTATTTAGCAAATAAACTTAAAAACATCTATTCAGATTACAGAAGGTTGAGATTTGGTTATTTTGCTGAGATGCATTAAATATTCACTCAGAGGGTTTTGATTACAATCTGACTGTTCACAGCCAGGGTGCATTTTCACTGTAATAATAACTTCAACTTAAACTTTCTTTTAGGCTTTATTCATCTATTGCCATTACAGAGTTGAGAGATAGAAATAGAAACTTTTCCAACCATTAGTTTCTTTTCTTAAACTTATATATGAATTCTATTATTATGAATCTTCTGTTTTTGGAGTATCTGCATTTGCCTTGGTACTACCTCCCAGCATGCTCCCTGAAGCTTCATAAAACTTGGAATGAAGACGAACCAATCCAAGGAACTTGGTGATCGGCTCTGGTTATAAATGATACTAGTAAATAGTAGATGCTATGTCTTAGGCACTATGTTTTCAGTCCATTTTTAATTGAAATGTGTGGAATTAAAGTGCACATGTACAACATAGGTTATAATTCATGAATAGGCAACTTTCCAAATATTTATTTGTGATAAATAAAGAACTTAATTTAAGGATTGGAAATTAAACTATAATTCCTCCACTATTTCCACCATTACTATTCCCTACCAATAAGTAGTGTTGACAATTCTCTAAAGTAAGTGATTTCCATTCCCCCTTACAATGGTTCTTGGGTGGCAGGATTAACAAATTGCACAGAGCCAGAGTTTCAAACATAAACTTGTGATTTATTGAAACAAAACCTACCAACACCCTACTACAGAAAATCCCTTCAAAGCTAAATGAACCAACACATCAATTGGTTTGTCCAACTGGAATCCCTCCAAGATTTAATCTCAGCTACCCACCCCCCAGCCATCCCAAACACAGGGTCACCATGATGTATCAGAGATAGTAGGAACTGCAGATGCTGGAAAATCTGTGATAACAAGGTATACAGCTGGATGAACACAGCAGGCCAAGCAGCATCATAGGAGCAGGAAGGCTGACGTTTCGGGCCTAGACCCTTCATCAGAAAAT